CGCATGGAAGATGTTAGCGCGCAGTGGAAGAAGCTGCTGGAGCCACAGAGCTCAAGGAGGCACTGCTGGCAGACAGGCCTTAGTGTTCATCACGTTTAGATACCTGGAGTCTGGAAAAATATGACAATTCCGGAATTAAATCATTGCTCCCATCATGCATCCAGTGAATTATAGAAATATCTACCTTCAATTATTGGAGCATTTGCTGTCGAAGCTCTAAAATCGGCTAATCTGGGATCAGAGAGTAGAACGCCTTAAGTGATTTGATTCTGCATCTCTGTGTTTGTTCCAGGTATCAAGCTACGGGAGGCCAACCAGCAGCAGCAGTTCAACAGGAATGTGGAGGACATTGAGCTCTGGCTCTATGAGGTCGAAGGTCACTTGGCCTCTGACGACTACGGGAAAGACCTGACGAGCGTCCAGAACCTGCAAAAGAAGCACGCCCTGCTGGAAGCCGACGTGGCAGCGCACCAGGTGACCCCCACATCCCAGAACCCACCAGGACTGCGCGTTTCCGTCTGTAGAGGTCGGCGCTGTGACCTCTCCTGTGAATGTTCCCCCACCAGGATCGGATCGACGGGATCACCATCCAGGCTCGGCAGTTCCAGGAAGCCGGCCACTTTGACGCAGACAACATCCAGAAGAAGCAGGAGGCTCTGGTGGTTCGCTATGAAGCTCTACGGGAGCCGATGGCGGCTCGCAAGCAGAAGCTGTCTGACTCGCTGCGCCTGCAGCAGCTCTTCAGGGACGTGGAGGACGAGGAGACCTGGATCAGGGAGAAGGAGCCCATCGCCTCGTCCACCAACAGAGGTATCAACCCCCAGAACACTGGCTGTCAGGGAAGCCATCTTCACTACTGTGTTTCCTGATTTATGGATCAGTTAAAACTTGGTTTCTATTTTAGAGAGATAATCTGAGTCTGGAGGAATGTTGAGCTTGTAAGATCCCGGACTGACCTTTTAGGTACAGATGGAATGACGAGCCATAACTTCCTGTTTGTGTCTCAGGTAAAGACCTTATTGGAGTCCAGAACCTGCTGAAGAAGCACCAGGCTCTCCAGGCTGAGATCGCAGGTCACGAGCCTCGGATCAAAGCCGTGACCCAGAAAGGAGACACCATGGTGGAGGAAGGTTCGTGAATTTAGATCCTCAACTTCCTGAAAGCGTTCCAGCTTCCTCTCAGGGTGCTGAGGCTCGGATGCTGGTTCTCAGGTCACTTTGCCGGGGAGGAGGTGAAGGCCAAGCTGGGGGAGTTGCACGGACGTTGGGACAACCTGAAGGGCAAGGCGGGCCAGAGGAGGCAGGATCTGGAGGACTCTCTGCAGGCCCAGCAGTACTTTGCCGACGCCAACGAGGCCGAGTCCTGGATGAGGGAGAAGGAGCCCATCGTCGGGAGCCCAGACTATGGAAAGACGAGGATTCAGCTGAGGTATGGAAGGTTGGCAGCAGTTGTTTGGTCCTGCTGTGAGACGCTGCGTTCTCACTCTGAGGTCCGGTCCACAGGCACTGCTGAAGAAGCACGAGGCCCTGATGTCAGACCTGTCGGCGTACGGCAGCAGCATCCAGGCTCTGAAGGAGCAGGCTCAGTCCTGCAGGGTGAGTCTAATTGTTCTGATCAGATCTGAAGTTCGGTTCTGTTAGATGACAGGTTGGGTTTCCATTATGAACAGCAACAAGTGGCTCCGACTGATGACGAGACTGGGAAGGAGCTGGTTCTGGCTCTGTACGACTATCAGGAGAAAAGTCCTCGCGAAGTGACTATGAAGAAGGGTGACATCCGACCCTGCTCAACAGCACCAACAAGGTACAGAACCTCACTGGACAGAGATCACAGGAACAGTGTTCTCTGTTTCTGAAGGGCACCATGCTGGGGTCCAGAGTGGATACGGCTTAGTTTTACTGTTTGGAAGGTTTTCTTTCAACAGCCAGACTGTACAAGAGCAGCCAGACTGCAGTCAGATCTGTTTCTGATGATCTGACTGCAGACTCTTGGTTTGGTTCTGACGGGTTCATGGCCCAGAACAGACTGGGAATGTCTGGAAAACTGGGAAAATTAAATGATAGATGGAAAAGTAATAGTTTTTCCATTCTTTTACTCCCTATTCCATCCATTGGTTAATGCATCCGTCGGTTTATGCTTCCATCAGTTTATGCTTCCATCAGTTTATGCATCCGTCGGTTTATGCATCCATCAGTTTATGCATCCATCCAGCTCGCCCATCCTTCCTGATCCCAGCAGAAGTACAACCCATGAATGTTCATGTTCAGTCTTTAAAATCAGCTTTAAAAAAGAGGACTTGGGAATTGGAGTCTGGAAAGATGTAGTATGTTTTAAGGAATGTTGTATTTTGATGCAGAAGCCTGCAGTTCTGCAGCAGGATGTCTGTCTGTGTTGTGAATGTTCTTGCTGTCTGATGCGTCTTCTCGTCCCAGGACTGGTGGAAGGTGGAGGTGAACGACCGCAGGGCTTTGTTCCGGCCGCCTATGTGAAGAAGTTGGACCCGACTCAGTCGTCTTCCAGGGAGAACCTGCTGGACGATCATGGCAGCATCGCAGCTCGACAGGAACAGATCGAGAACCAGTAAGAAATGTCTTTCCTGTCTTGTGGGCTTTCCTAACACGTTCCTCCTTCCTGTGGGATCTAACTGGTCCCACCCACTAATGACCCGGCTCCTGGTTCTGTTTCTGTCTCCTCTTCCTTGTCTAACCCCTAACCTGGCCTCGCTGCGGCAGGCTCGTCACCAAGGAGCCCTGCAGCGTGTCTGTGCGCATGAAGCAGGTGGAAGAGCTGTGAGTAGGAACCGGCGTTCCGACCCGTTTCCCCGTGATCCGCAGCGGTTTAGCCTCATGTGTCTGTGATCCTCCATCCTCCATCATCCCATGGCTTGCTCTCTTCCTTTTCCTGCCATGTGAAGCAGAAACAGGGAAACATTTCAGGTCCTGTGTTGAATGTAGATGTTCGGTACCATCCCAAACCGCTCCGCTTTACTGAGGTTCTGCTGCGTCCCTTGGACCCGCCCGCACTAACACGGGCCAGGACAACAAGTTAAACTGATAAATTGTTGAGCGGTTCTGCTGAGGCCGTTAAAAACATCGAGCTCGAGTTGCTATCGAGGGGTTACCAGGGCAACGAGACCTAAAGGTGTCTGACCTTTTTGGATGAGGGTGAAAGGTCAGACACATCTGTGGTCCTGCCTGGCAGTAGGGCTGAAACGATTCCTCGATGATTATGATTCCTCCAGGTGAATGGACCTGCCTCCAAGCTTCGTTCATCTGTTTTATTACTCGGTTTTCTGACCAGAACATTATGGAGTTCTGACGAAACCAAAGTGCTACATAAAGTCCAATCTTCAGGAGCCGCCAGTGGGGATTGGATTGATTGGTGATAATCATCATGGTTTCAGGGACCAATCAGAATCCTTAAAATGACGGGCGATGCCTGGAGTCCGGCAGCTTTTCTCCTCTGCAGCTGCAGGTTCTGAGCTGCAGGTTCTGGGCTGCAGGTTCTGGGCTGCGGGTTCTGAGCTGCAGGTTCTGAGCTGCAGGTTCTGAGCTGCAGGTTCTGAGCTGCAGGTTCTGGGCTGCAGGTTCTGGGCTGCAGGTTCTGAGCTGCAGGTTCTGGGCTGCAGGTTCTGGGCTGCAGGTTCTGAGCTGCAGGTTCTGAGCTGCAGGTTCTGGGCTGCAGGTTCTGCAAACGGAGGCGAAGCGTCAGCAGCAGCTGATGCATGATGTCAGGGTCGCCGCTCCAGCCAGGCGACTCCGTGTCGCCTCCCTGTCTGTGCGGCGGATCCTGTCCGCTGACGCCTCCCCTCTCTGCAAGGTACGGCACGCTGTTGGAGCTGGGAGAGAAGAGGAAGGACATGCTGGAGAAGAGCTGCAAGAAGTTCATGTTGTTCCGCGAAGCCAACGAACTCCAGCAGTGGATCCATGAGAAGGAGAGCGCCCTGACCAACGAGGAGGTCGGCTCGGACCTGGAGCAGGTCGAGGTTCTGCAGAAGAAGTTCGACGACTTCCAGAAGGTAACGCCGGGGGTTTGTTCAGGACCAGAACCGGGCCTCCCGGTCCCGGTTCCGTCCCGGTTCTGATGTCTGCGTTCTGCTCGGCCGTCCAGGACCTGAAGGCCAACGAGTCCCGGCTGAGGGACATCAACAAGGTGGCGTCGGAGCTGGAGTCTGAAGGCCTGATGGCGGAGGAGGCTCCCATGGTCCAGGCCCAGGTGAGCTGCACCGGTTCCGTCTGACCCGGCCGCCGGTTCCGTCTGACCCGGCCGCCGGTTCCGTCTGACCCGGCCGCCGGTTCCGTCTGACCCGGCCGCCGGTTCCGTCTGACCCGGTTTGTGTCTTTGTGTCTGCAGCAACAGGAGCAGCTGGGATCCGCTCCCGGAAAGGTCCGGTTCTTCGCCGTCCTTCGCTTGTTGCTGGTTCTGACGAGTTAATCAGTTTTTCTGTGTTCGACAGGACGAGTCTGACTCCAAGACGGCTTCGCCCTGGAAGGTAAGCTCCGCCCACCGCCCGGCCGGTTCTGGTTCTGCTGTCGGTCCGATCGCGCCGACTGGTCACCGCCCTCACCGTGTCGGTCTGAAATGAAAGGGTTCGATCGGCCGATCTCTCCTGACTGCTGTGGTGTTTGTTTTTCCTCTTGACCTTTGACCTCAGACCATACGACTGGGTGTCCAAACGACGGCTAACTTTAATACCATCAAGGTAAGACCCGACTGATCCGAACCCGTCCTGCTAACCCGTAGCTCCGCCCCTTCCTGTTGGTTCTGTTCTCACCCTGCACCCGTCCTGCTGGACCCATCTTCCTGTTTCCTGTTTGCTCCTGGCTGCCAGGAGGCACTTCCTGCTCTGCTGTGATTGGTCACAGACCTGAGGAAGTATTCCCACCTCCAACAGGTTCATGTTCTCATTTTGAATGAATTAACGTGGATTTTATGTGACGGAACAAAACATCTGCAGACTGAAACTGACACATTCAGTTTTCAAGTCTTTAGCTCTGGCCTTTGACTAGGCCATGCTGACATTCCAGTTCTGTGTGATTCATCCTCATTCCTGTCCTGGTTGATCTGCAGGTTCATCTCTTATGATGGATTCAAATGGGCTCAATAATAATGATTGAAAATCCATTTTGTTATTGATGACACGTTTCATGTTGTGCTGATCAATATATAAATATGAGGTTTTATCATCACTGTTTGGATGGCAGTGAGAGGCTAACAACACGTTAGCATCGCTATGCTAACGCTAAAGTTAGCCTCAGGAGAATACCATAACAACCTGTTAAAGGTCACAGTGTTAAAGGTCAGACAGTGTTAAAGGTCAGATAGTGTTAAAGGTCACAGTGTTAAAGGTCACAGTGTTAAAGGTCACAGTGTTAAAGGTCACCGTGTTAAAGGTCAGACAGTGTTAAAGGTCACAGTGTTAAAGGTCAGACAGTGTTAAAGGTCACAGTGTTAAAGGTCACAGTGTTAAAGGTCACCGTGTTAAAGGTCAGACAGTGTTAAAGGTCATAGTGTTTAAGGTCACAGTGTTAAAGGTCACAGTGTTAAAGGTCAGACAGTGTTAAAGGTCACAGTGTTAAAGGTCAGACAGTGTTAAAGGTCACAGTGTTAAAGGTCACAGTGTTAAAGGTCAGACAGTGTTAAAGGTCACAGTGTTAAAGGTCAGACAGTGTTAAAGGTCACAGTGTTAAAGGTCACAGTGTTAAAGGTCACCGTGTTAAAGGTCAGACAGTGTTAAAGGTCACAGTGTTAAAGGTCACAGTGTTAAAGGTCACAGTGTTAAAGGTCACCGTGTTAAAGGTCAGACAGTGTTAAAGGTCACAGTGTTAAAGGTCAGACAGTGTTAAAGGTCATAGTGTTTAAGGTCACAGTGTTAAAGGTCACAGTGTTAAAGGTCAGACAGTGTTAAAGGTCACAGTGTTAAAGGTCAGACAGTGTTAAAGGTCACAGTGTTAAAGGTCACAGTGTTAAAGGTCAGACAGTGTTAAAGGTCACAGTGTTAAAGGTCAGACAGTGTTAAAGGTCACAGTGTTAAAGGTCACAGTGTTAAAGGTCACCGTGTTAAAGGTCAGACAGTGTTAAAGGTCACAGTGTTAAAGGTCACAGTGTTAAAGGTCAGACAGTGTTAAAGGTCACCGTGTTAAAGGTCAGACAGTGTTAAAGGTCACAGTGTTAAAGGTCACAGTGTTAAAGGTCAGACAGTGTTAAAGGTCAGACAGTGTTGAAGGTCACAGCTCATGTCCCAGTATTTACAGATGATCAGCAGATTCTCTGTCATTCTGTTGTCATTTTTACACGTTTCCATTTTATTTCTTGTTTTTTATTCATATTTAAAGTTTCCATCGATCAGCAACGTTTACAAATTCAAATCTATTGATTAATTGAGCTTCATGTTAATAAATTGCCAATTGGTCTCAGAACAATAATCAATGATCCAGTGAAGGTCTCTGTGTCCGGATGATGTTGCAGAACCAAACCCGGCTCAACCAGAACCAGAACCTCCCCGACCCAGTAGCTCTGTGTTCGGTCACATTGAACCCGTTGGTGTGTCTGGAGGTTGTGGGTGCGAATACGTCCCGGTCTGGGTGACGCAGCGGGGCGATCCCAGTCTGACCAGTGTCTGTGTGCCGCAGGAGCTGAACAACCGCTGGCGCTCGCTGCAGCAGCTGGCCGAGGACCGCAGCAACATGCTGGGCAGCGCCCACGAGGTGCAGCGCTTCCACAGGTAACCCTGACGCCCTGCCGGCCCATCGGAGACTGGCAGCGACGCTCAGGCGTGTCACTTCCTCTCAGGGACGCCGACGAAACCAAGGAGTGGATCGAGGAGAAGAACCAGGCGCTGAACACGGACAACTACGGCCACGACCTGGCCAGCGTCCAGGCGCTGCAGCGCAAACACGAAGGCTTCGAGAGAGACCTGGCGGCGCTGGGCGATAAGGTCAGGACCCGCCGTGACCCCCGGGTGACCCCCCAGGTGACCCGCCGCTCCCCGGCCTTCACGCAGACTGCTCCTGTCCGACAGGTGAAGTCTCTGGGCGAGACGGCGGAGCGTCTGATCCAGTCGCACCCGGAGGCCGTGGACGACATCCAGGAGAAATGCACAGAGCTGAACACGGCGTGGAGCAGCTTGGTGGGCCGCGCCGACCAGCGCAAGGACAAGCTGGGCAACTCCCACGACCTGCAGCGCTTCCTGTCCGACTTCAGGTGGGCGGCGTGCGGACCGGGCCCGTTGACCCGCTGACCCGTTAATCTGGCGGTTAATGGCGTCAAGGTTCTGTTGCTGGTTTCACTGATCAGGTGGAAAGATTGTGGCTCCAAGTGTCGTGTCTGGAGTCTGGAGGACTTTGATCGTGAATATCGATATGTATCGTTAGTAGAAACCAGCGCTGGGTTTAGTGTTGTCGTTGTGAAAAGGTCCGGATCTGGAGCGACCCGGTTAGGATGAGCGGCTCTGTGTCCTCCTGCAGGGACCTGATGTCGTGGATCAACGGGATCCGAGGCCTGGTGTCGTCCGAGGAGTTGGCGAAAGACGTCACGGGCGCCGAGGCGCTGCTGGAGCGCCACCAGGTGGGCGGAGCTCCTCCTTCTCTCCCGCGGTAAGCTGCCGGTGCGGTTCTGCTGACGGACTGCGGGCCTTGCAGGAGCACCGGACGGAGATCGACGCGCGGGCCGGGACCTTCCAGGCCTTCGAGCAGTTCGGCCAGCAGCTGCTGGCGCGCGGCCACTACGCCAGCGCCGACATCCAGCAGAAGCTGAAGGCTCTGGACCAGGAGCGCGCCGACCTGGAGAAGGCCTGGGTGCAGCGCCGCATGATGCTGGACCAGTGCCTGGAGCTGCAGGTGAGCTGGACCCTGCTGGGCCGGACCCTGCTGGGCCGGACCCTGCTGGGCCGGACCCCGCCGGGCCGGACCCCGCTGACTCCGCCCCCTCCTCACCCTCAGCTCTTCAACCGGGACTGCGAGCAGGCGGAGAACTGGATGGCGGCGAGGGAAGCCTTCCTGGCCAGCGACGACAAGGGCGACTCGCTGGACAGCGTGGAGGCGCTCATCAAGAAGCACGAGGACTTTGACAAGGCCATCAACGTCCAGGTTGGTGACCCGCCGGGTCAGAACCGGCTCTGACCCGGTTCAGACTCAGTTCTGAGCCGGTTCTGAATTCGCTGCAGGAGGAGAAGATCGCCGCCCTGCAGTCGTTTGCTGACCAGCTGATCGGAGCCGATCATTACGCCAAGCCGGAGATCTACAACCGCCGCAACGAGGTTCTGGACAGGTCAGCTGTTTTTCAAAATAAAAGTCTGGTGTCCAGGTGACGGTAACAACTGGAGCCACAGCACATTCAGGTGGGACCACAGGAAGCTGGTTCCACTACCAGCTTCCTGTGTCTTTCAAAATAAAGCTCGGGTTGAGCTCCAGAACTTCTGGACTCGGTGACGTTTTACCGCAGACGGTTCTGGTTCAGGACGGGTTCCTGTTCTCCAGGTGGCGCCGGCTGAAGGCCCAGATGATCGAGAAGCGCTCCAAGCTGGGCGAGTCGCAGACGCTGCAGCAGTTCAGCCGCGACGTGGACGAGATCGAGGCCTGGATCAGCGAGAAGCTGCAGACCGCCACCGACGAGTCCTACAAGGATCCCACCAACATCCAGGTTGGTTCCGGTTCCGGTTCCGCTGTGAGCTTCGTCCTCCCTGTAATCCCGTCTGAACGCCTCTCTCTTCTACCCTCTCTAGCTGTCCAAGCTGCTGGTAAGTTGTAGTCGTGTGTCACTAACCGGCAGACAGACGGTCGTCCGTTTTGTCCCGTTTGTCCTCCATCGGCTCCGACTTGAGTTCAGGTCTTTAGTTCTGCTTCCAGTTCAGATCCCTGCAGGAGGTCCAGTTCTCAGAACCGTCCTGAAGGTTCTGCCTCAGCCCGGTCCAGAGAACCGGTCCAATCGGAACCAGAGCTGCACCACGTGTCGCGTCGTCGTCCAGATATAAACCCGAATGTCCGGGCTGACATGTTGTCGTGGCAATAAGGCCTCATGCGGTGCAGTTCTGGCGCGACTCCGGTCGGTTCTGACCCAGAAGCAGCTTGGAGTGACTGTGTGTGTTTTGGCTCCATCATCAGTTTTTGTCCTCCGTGTCCATAAATGTCCTCTGTGTCCGTAACCACGTCCTGTTAAAGTCCCAGAGCGCCCGGCGTGAACGGGCCGGGCCGAGCCGATCCGGGCCGGGCCGGTCTGAGCCGAGCCGGGCCGGGCCGAGCCGATCCGGGCCGGGCCGGTCTGAGCCGAGCCGGGCCGGGCCGAGCCAAGCAGAACCTTCTGACGCCGTGTCTGTGCCGCCAGAGCAAACATCAGAAGCACCAGGCGTTTGAGGCGGAGCTGCACGCCAACGCCGACCGGATCAAAGGCGTCATCGACACGGGGAACGCGCTGATCCAGAGAGGAGCCTGCGCCGGCAGCGAGGACGCCGTCAAGGTGAGCCGACCCCGCGACCCGACCGAAACCCCTGATCCCAGTGGCTGTGGGCGGCTCAGGAAGTCCAGTCTGGGTTTCGCCTGCAGGCCCGGCTCAACGCGCTGGACGAGCAGTGGCAGTTCCTCGTCAACAAATCGGCAGAGAAGAGTCAGAAGCTGAAGGAGGCCAACAAGCAGCAGAACTTCAACACCGGCATCAAGGACTTTGACTTCTGGCTGTCTGAGGTGAGGACCGCTCTGGACCGCCGGGCGCCACGGCCAGCGCTGCGCTAAACATCCTGACCGCGTCTCCTCAGGTGGAAGCTCTCCTGGCCTCCGAGGATTACGGCAAAGACCTGGCGTCGGTCAACAACCTGCTGAAGAAGCACCAGCTGCTGGAGGCCGACATCTCTGCTCACGAGGTACGGCGCCCGTTCTGTCGTTGCCGAGACGGGAAACGGTGAACGAAGGAGTTCTGATGCTGGTGGCTCCCGCAGGACCGCCTGAAGGACCTGAACGGCCAGGCCGACAGCCTGATGGCCAGCAACGCCTTCGACACCTCGCAGGTGAAGGACAAGCGCGACGCCGTCAACGGCCGCTTCGCCAAGATCAAGAGCATGGCCGCCGGCCGCCGCGCCAAGCTCAACGAGTCGCACCGCCTGCACCAGTTCTTCAGGGACCTGGACGACGAGGAGTCCTGGATCAAGTAAGACCTGCAGCCTCTGCTCCTCTGGGGGAACCGGTGACCTTCACTGACCTCTGCTCCTCTGGGGGAACCGGTGACCTTCACTGACCTCTGCTCCTCTGGGAGAACCGGTGACCTTCACTGACCTCTGGGGGAACCGGTGACCTTCACTGACCTCTGCTCCTCTGGGGGAACCGGTGACCTTCACTGACCTCTGCTCCCAATCCCTCAGGGAGAAGAAGCTGTTGGTCGGATCGGAGGATTACGGACGTGATTTGACGGGAGTTCAGAACCTGAGGAAGAAGCATAAGAGGCTGGAAGCCGAGCTGACGGCACATGAGCCGGCCATCCAGGTAGGACCTCTGACCTCTGACCTGTGGGGTCAGTTCGGAGCAGCAGATGTTTCCCTGACTTTGTCGTGGTTCCTCAGTCTGTGCTGGACACCGGGAAGAAGCTGTCTGATGACAACACCATCGGTCAGGAGGAGATCCAGCAGCGCCTGGCCCAGTTCGTGGACCACTGGAAGGAGCTGAAGGATTTATCTGGAGCCAGGTCAGAGGTCGTGATCCGGAGAGCCTGAGCTGCCGGATCGGCTCTGAAGCCGATTGCTTCTGGTTTCAGAGGGAAGAGGCTGGAGGAGTCGCTGGAATACCAGCAGTTTGTGGCGAACGTGGAGGAGGAGGAAGCTTGGATCAACGAGAAGTTGAACCTGGTTGGAAGCGAGGACTACGGAGACACGCTGGCGGCGGTGCAGGTGACTTCCTGTTCCTGTCCGGGTCACTTCCTGAGATGCCACAGGCGTTGATCTGCTGCCGTTTCCTCCTCAGGGCCTGCTGAAGAAACACGAAGCGTTTGAGACGGACTTCACGGTCCACCGGGACCGGGTCGGCGACGTCTGCGCCAACGGAGAGGAGCTCATCAAGAAGGTCCGCTCCGGAGTCCGGAACGACCCGGCCAGAACCGGCTCCCCTGCAGCACCGAGACCAAACTCTGCTCTGCTCCCTCCAGAACAACCACCACGTGGACAACATCAGCGCCAAGATGGCCGCCCTGAGAGGGAAGGTGTCGGAGCTGGAGAGGGCGGCGGCCCAGAGGAAGGCCAAGCTGGACGAGAACTCGGCGTTCCTGCAGTTCAACTGGAAGGCCGACGTGGTGGAGTCCTGGATCGGTACGGAACCGGAACCCGGTCCGCCGAACCGGAACCCGGTCCGCCGAACCGGAACCCGGTCCGCCGAACCGGAACCCGGTCCGCCGAACCGGAACCCGGTCCGCCGAACCGGAACCCGGTCCGCCGAACCGGAACCCGGTCCGCCGAACCGGAACCCGGTCCGCCGAACCGGAACCCGGTCCGCCGCAGGTTACAGGACCGGGTTCTAAACTTTGCCCGTCTGTTCAGGTGAGAAGGAGAACAGCCTGAAGACGGACGACTACGGCAGAGACCT